GTATACAGATGGCTCCAGGATGGAAGAATGCGCAGGTGCTGGGGTCTATGGGCAGTCCCCAAGGGCAAATCATTACTATATCCTTGGGAAACATGCCACGATTTTTCAGGCTTAAGTATTTGCAATACTTGCATGTGATCGAGAGAATATCGAGAGGGGCTATCACAGCCAGCAAACCACTATATGCACTGACAGCCAGGCGGCGATCAAGGCGCTCACCTCGTATAGGGTGACCTCCGCCTTGGTGTCAGAGTGTATAGATAGCCTACAAAGGCTGTCAGCAACGAACAAAGTATGTCTTTTGTGAGTCCCTGGGCACTCAGGGGTACCAGGTAACGAAATGGCCGATGGTCTAGCCAGAAAGGGGGCGAAGGGTTCAGTGATTGGTCCAGAGCCAATCTTGGGGGTCACTCGATCCTAGAGCAACTTCAGGATGAAGGAAATTCTGACGGAAAGGTTTCAGGAACGAAACTCAAATCAGTGTTGTACTGTTTCACATTACATATTGGTAGTAAAGGTTAACATATTTATAACCTCAGTCCTGATATAATATATTATTGATGAACCGAAAGGATATTGATGAACCGGCTGTACTCTGTTTGTATGTGATACTGACTTTCCCTGTCCTGATAACAAAGGTATCAAGTCATTCAGCTTTCTAAAAACCATAAGTGTGAGAGCTGTAATACTCAAATAAAAGAAGTGACAACTGCCGACATCTGTTCATAGGAACCAGTATTCCAGGCTTCGGCAAGGGTTTGTAATTGAAGCCTACACTCTCTACACTAAAACGGTGCACTAGGGCACTTGACACTATTTTGATAATGGCAATACATTTTCCACTTGCGATCGTCAAAGTATTTTTCATTATCCAATTTTTCATACTTCAGTGAATGGCTACACTTGATACGAATACCTTGCTCCTTGTCACAATTAAAGTGATATAATTGGATTGTCATCGATAGTCATAAATACAGTGTGTTAGTAGGTCATTGGGAAAATCACGGGCATGCGCAAATTCATCACCAACGGCCAATATTATCGCTTTCTACGCGTCTTGTAGGTAGGAAGTTTCAGTGATCAGTTTGCATCAGACCACCAAATCGTTCAGGTCGTATCACGTTCAGTGCTGTGTGAACTCTGTGAAGTGATGCAGATTGCACCGTAATAAAGATAAACGAACAGCGTCTACTCGAATATGTTGCCTTGTGTAGTGTGAATTGAATGATGGAATTCCCAAAGTTACTGGCAGCTTGGGAATGGGTATAAGACCGCTTGGGTGGATCCATTGTGTTACCCCTGTTGTTTCCTCCCACTTAACGAACTGGTAACGAGGGGGGTCGAGATTTCCTCCTATTCATGAGGCCTTCCTGTGTTCCCATTCCCGGCTCTTCCCAGAAGCCCAGAGGAGATCCCCGTCAACGGCCAATAATATCGCTTCATACGCGTCTTGTAGGTAGGAAGGTTCAGTAAACAGTTTGCATCAGACCACGTTCAGGTCGTATCACGTTCAGTACAGTGTGAACTCTGTGAAGTGTACATGATTGATGCAGATTGCACGGTAATAAAGATAGACGAACAGTGTCTACTCGAATAAGTTGCCTTGTGTAGTGTGAATTAAATTATGGAATTCTCAAAGTTAGTTTACTGGCAGCTTGGGAATGGCTATTAGACCGCTTGGGTGGGTAACAACCCCTGTTGTTTCCTCCCACTTAACAAATTGGTAACGAGATGGGAGCGAGATTTCCTTCTATTCATGAGGCCTTCCTGTGTGCCCCTCCCCGGCTCTTTCCAGAAGCTCGGAGGAGATCCCCGTCAACGCTAGCCCGGTGCCAGGACCACTATCAGTTACGCACTTGGGTCTCTGTCTTGCCCTGTTCACGTGCCAGGTCCAGATCGCGAACCCGTACTAGCTCAGTGCTCAGCCTGCACGGTCCTGTCTCCTGAGCCCAGAGATGTGATGTATGGTGCTCATATATTATTTATTCCTCTTTTTATTGTTTATGTGTCATTTATCCTTTTAATAACGCATATTCAGATTTTTTCTCGGATTTTTTGTTTGTAAATTTGATGCAACCAAATGAAAGGAATATATGAAAAAAGTTGTATGTATTATTTCATCATTTTATAGTAGCAAATGTATACTTTAATAATGACAAATAACCTTTTACCTATACCAAATGAAATCGACACTAAAATCAACTATAATTTTCATTAACGGTTGATAATACTGTGTCATTACTGTAAGTACTTTGTTTGGTAATGTTTAATATTGGCAAATAAACACTGCCTGGTTCTTTTTTTTTCCTAGAGGCAATAAAAGTGAGACCCAGACCCAATCACAGGTGTTTTTTTGAATTGTCAGTAGTAAAGTTTTAATAATCGTTATTAAAGTCTTTCTCGGTGTATTCGCATCGGTTTTTTTAAGGAGTGCCAAAAGATAGTACAGATGTACGAATGTAAAAAATTCACGAACGATAAGATTTTCACAGAATTTTTTATCAAACTACATGTTTCGCTAGCACAGTAGCTTCTTCATGTGTTATACTGGAACAATAAACAAAACTTTCTTGGTTTCTAATAATTCAAAATGATTGAGTTTTATTCCTTTATTTTCTACGTGTAGAATTTCGAAATTATCATAGACTATGGGTTCCTTCTGATATACGGTTCGCGTATGTTGAATTTGTTTAATTTTTCAAAAAATGCATCTTGTGATCATGAATGCGCTGATTAAACTTTCGAACTGTCTGACCGATATATATCTCAAGAAAAGGTCCACACTTAAACCTTCCCAACGTGTTATTTGTTCTATAGGCAACTTTTCAGTACTGTTCATGTAGATATGAAGCTAATTTTTCAGCTAGCTTTATTCGCACGTTGAGATATCTCGATATCATTAATCGCCCTCATCAATACACTATAGTTGCGGTTGAATAGCAATATCTATCAAAATGCTACGCAGCGCTCACAAGCTATAAGAAATACTTCAGGTAAATTTTGAAAATCAACTACGAAAACTAAGTTAATATTACCAAAAATTATTATTATATGAACTATACGAAGTCTCAATCGAAAATAATGTTCAGTTAGTAACATAAGAAACGTGTGAAACACATACTTTCAATTTTCAAGATATTATATTCGAGGCGTTTTTTATTGGCAATTCATTATATACAGGATGTTGTCTGTATAAGAAATCGTTTATTCTTCAAGTTTGTTCATTAGCAAATTTGTGGATAATCCAATGGAATTTTGATGAGAAATATGATTTATACTATTTTCTTTACATGTATACTCTGGTAGATCACATTTTGATTGTGCAAACAACACCCTGATTATGATGATTAAAAAAGAACCAACAAAGTGTTCTTGATATCGTAAAGTATTTAAAATGATTCTCTGCATTGACAATGAATCATATCTAATAATGAAAGACTAATATACAGGGTTGGCCACCAGTAACGCCTCGGTTTCTAGAAGGCTAACCACTTATCTTCTTGGAATTCTTCCTCTCTAGGAAGTTGCATGTCAACATAGGCTACCATTTAAAATTATTTCGAAACATACAGGGTGTCCCCGAAAACCATAAAACACTGAAGTTGAACTTTTTTCTTTCAAACACCCTATATATTATTTCATTTTGAGATTCTCCCTGATGAGCTGATTTCAACGATCCATATACCGGGTGATCAAGATTCTGAATTCTGCACCACCCTGTATTTGTTTCAATTAAATGTCAAAAGTTGAGATAGGGACATGTGAGTCGTTTTGACCAATTATGAATGGTTTAGACACAAAAAATTCTTGAACTTGGAAAATCTCGATTTCTCACACCCTATATCTCAGTAATTATAACTGCTAGACCCCAAGTATGATGGATTGTTGAAATCAGCTCACCAGGGAGAATCTCAAAATGAAATAATATATAGGGTGTTCGATAAAAAAAAAGTTCAACTTCAGTGTTTTATGGTTTTTGGGGACACCCTGTATGTTTCGAAATAATTTTAAATGGTAGCCTATGTTGACATGCAACTTCCTAGAGAGGAAGAATTCCAAGAAAATAAATGGTTAGCCTTCTAGAGACCGAGGCGTTACTGGTGGCCCACCCTGTATAGTGGCATCCATGAAGGCCGTGACATATGGAGAAAAAGCTTATTATCAGAGTATCGAAAAATGTTTTTCTCTATTGTGCATTTCCGATAACCTAAGATTAGGTTTTGACGTCAAATCACTATGAGAAGGCACAAAGTGCGGTAAAATGGAAAGGTATCGAAAAAAAAGTTATTTGAAAATGGAAAGGTATCGAGAAAAAGTTATTTGAAAAAGTTGCCTAAAATTTGATTCAATTTATACAGAATTTAAAAAATTGAAAATAGCCATTTTATTCTAATATTTTTCGACCTCGTTACAATTCTCTAATGTTTCTCACCTGAATAAGACGACGTGATACCCAGCCGTGATTATGTGCTACTGGGGACTTGTATTTTGGAGATAATAAGAGAACAATCTCGTTTAGTAACAAGATCGGCAAATAATATGAAAAATGATATTTAATAATTCTCAAAACTCTGTATGTCAGTATGAAATTGAATTCCAAGCAAATTTTTCAAATAATTTTTTTTGATACCATATCATCGAACCTCCTTTTTTTGCCTCATCATAGTCATTTTTTCAATTTACCGCCAGTGACATATCAGTGACAATCGATCCTTGGGTTATAGGACATGCATAATAGATATCCGAGGAAAGAATTGTCGATACTCTAATACCTTATGGATGACACTGTATATATCATATATTTCATAGAAAGTGTAACCACCTATTATTCAGAAGTTGAATATTCAAATTCATTGGTTCATATATCATTCAAAAGTTGATCCAAAAACACAGGAAGCCACAAGGACTTGAATGATTACAGAAAATGGTGACATCAAGTTGTGAATCCGGACAAGCAAAATAATCAATCACTGTACAGAATATGCTGAATTTTGTTGAATTTAACTCACGAATAACGCTATGGCTTCTTGTTCCTCAGGAGTTAGCCTATCTATTTCGAAGGCATAATTCATCAGAACATGATCTTTTCTATCCTGATGTAATACAAGTATAACATCATCTTTCATTGCTGCCATCGCCAATATATTCAGAATTCTCACTCTCACATCCAAAGGGAATTGTTCATCATGGAGTAATCTTCCTAGAAATAAGAATATATTACTGTAAAAATATAACTTCTTAAGTTTTGCAATGAGAACAAGGAACATATAGATAATATCAATGTGAAACAAACACCAGCCATTCCACAATCTATTTGAAAGTCCCGCCATTCGAAAAAATTCGGAAACATCAGCTAAAATATTCCTCAAAAATTACATTAGTTTTGATTACACTATTTCATGGAATCTTGTTTTGAAAAGAGATAAATCCGGTCAGAATGCGAATGAAACAGAATACTGATGAATACGCAGGTCTTCCACAGTTTACTATTGTATTATATTGTGCGCTCCCTAAAATATGTTTGAACGAGACCATGACAAATTAACTGTGGAGGAACAACATTATTCCAGAAAATCTGTATGATTGACGATAAAAAAATCTCAACAAATCAATCTACTAGAGAAACACTTACGAATTCACAAATCCTATTTACTTTTATGCTTCGACTGTCTATAAGCAAGTAAACTACCTATCCATAAAAAATTCACCTGAATGATATTCTTTCTTCATCAATAATCATTTAATTTGCAGAAATCGGGATGTAAAAGTTTGACTATGATGACCCGTCATTTTTATTCTAGGTAAATAATCCGTATATGAAAAAAATTAACTTTTATTTGCGGCAGAAAGTAAATCCCAAACTTCCAGTGAGAAGTTACGGACATATATTTTTAGTATCCCCTTAACGAAACGGACTGGGAACTTTATCAAGAGGATCCAGGGAAAGTTGGAACATACCGATTTTTTACACCTCGACACGTGTTTCGCTATGTTAGCATCTCCAGGAGAAGATTAGAACTAAATGCTCTATCCTAGTGGGCTACTTATATACTAAGTATATGTCCACCGAACCGTGAATAGACAATAACCGCTAAGTTAATATTATTTCCATCGACCTCGTATTAACGACTAAGTTTAATGTATATGAAATCGTTCATTAATGACCCGTATTAATGAACGATTTGTCTATTAATGCACGATTGTTTTATAGGCAACCAAACATACACCGCGTGCATTCATTGTTTATGCTATAACTTACGGAATCTGCATTTAAATCGAAAATATGGATTTCATCGAAGATTTTCCGTTAACGGGTTCGCCTTTCCAAGTTTCTGACTCGATTTTAATCCCTGTTTTCTAACACAAGGAATTTATTTTCTATGTTGATCATTTCGAAAAATATCAAATGTCACTTATGTCAGTAACAAGGCTACTGGGTGATTCTTAGCAGTTTCCGGATGGATGGAATTCGCGAACCAAGTTTTCTTCATTGCAGGAGAAATGAGAAATATAGTCGACGGAAAAATTTTGTAACCAACTTGTATATTAAAAGGCGATTAATACACTAGTTGGTTAAATAACTATTCATGAGTTCACATATTATATTACTAAGCTATACAGAGGGCTAAATGGGATAGGTCCATTATCCTTCTTCATTACTCTCCATTACTATTTCTGAATATCTCTCAGCTTTCATATGCATCTGATTTTCTAACATTATTAATTTCCTCAACTAATTTAAGGTTATTAATATGTGTGTTATGATTGTGATTGCATATGTTCGGCTACACACGATTTATCTAACCTACCATATGTGTGTCCACCTTATCTTTTGGATTACCTAATAAATTGCCTAACTTTGACCCAGACCAAAGGTTCCAGTTTTCGATATATATACCGGGTGTTTTCGAAATTGGGATAATAAATGAAATGGGTAATAGAACATGAAAAGACGAAACGAAATGAAAGAATACATTTTTATCAAAAAAAAAATATTTTGGAAGATATTGCCATTTCAAGTTTCGCAGCAACTTTTGAGAATAACTTCCCAGAGGTCAACGGCCCATCACAAATGCGGCCGACTGCATGAAGAGTTTGAACCTTATAACCAAGGATTCGAAGCAGGTGCACGCAATGTTGCCGGACGTTCAATATTTTTGTGAGACAATATTCTTCATTTGTTATTTGAAGGACGTGAGGTTTAAAAAGTATGTTGTAGACATTTTGAGTAGGGTTACTATTGAAAAAAAAACAATTCCAGATACGATTGAAATTAGACATAAAAGAAGAATCTTACGAAAGAAAATAAGGATGATAGTAATTTACGCTATGTCTGGTTATCTACAGTACAGGTATGCAAATTTAAGGCTGACGCCAGTGGGAAGGCTAACGCCTAATTTTGACATGTAATTTCACACTTTTCAGAAATGACGGAAGTTTTAAAACATCTTACTTCACGTAATCAGTTGCATGAGCCAGAGTGATGAATTGTTCATATTAACACCAGTTATGGCATGGAAATATGGATGGACGAATAGAATAGTGTATTTTGTGCTATTTCCTCGATATCACTCGGGAAATCTGAACTTGAATATCATCCATTTCCACTAATGTCAATATCAAACGAGTCTATTTTTTGCATTTCGTCGCTGATTTGAGACCATATTATTGTTTGACGGTTACTTCAAAGTGACGGGCGAATCAATTGCCTACTAAGAGTGATAAGTTTTGTACATAATCGGTAGAACTTATGTAGAACCGAGTGTAGAACTGGTCATTATTTCTGTTCAAGCGGAAGTTTTCATCGAAATTAGAAAAAATATTGCACGTAACACGTTAGGAAATGCATTTTCTGTAACTCTGTGTTTTGTGGGATCTAGCTTAGCTCGTACTGCAAAATTTCATCGTCACACAAATTGACGCGTCACTGCCCAGGCAACCAGATGACGTTCCAGTTACGTCTTTTTTACGTCACTTGAATGACCAAGGTGACGTCAGTAGTTTACGTCGCATTGACGTGATAATGACGTGAATAAGTCACAGCCCAATGACGTCATATAACTCACGTCGTATTGACGTCATTCACTCACCAAACTGTGACGTCCGACTGACGTCACAATGACGTCAAAATGACGATTGAATTTGGCGGTGATACGTAAAAAAGATTCCCTCAACATGGTGTGATAAACACCACTAGCCTCTGATGACATTATATAATATTGATTATGCATTGTTGAGTCTGCTTGGTGGGTCTCTCCTGTGTCATGTTCATTCAATCGCCTATTCAGCAGTGCCATCCTTCAGTACGCATCTCCATCAGAATGCAATCAGTTACTCGTATTTGTATAAAAAATTATGTAGTTTGTGTCGACGAGATGTAAGCAAACAAAGAATAGTTTGATAGCAATTGAAAGGATGTTGGCGAATTTGTTTGTTGAATAATGTATATTGATGCATTCTTTGTCACCCAACAAAAATCTAAATAGCAAATTATTGGAAAATTTCCTAAATGACGAAGCTCACCAAATTGGTACGTCGCACCGACGTGATTTTTAGACCTCATTTGATACGTCACTGCAACGTCAGAGATATACAGTGTGTCAAAGTTTTTTAGAAAAGAGTTTGTCTACTACTTTTCGAGTATATTGATAATTAGAATAAAACTTGCATGTTGATTTGCTTTCATGAGTTATACTTCTGTTTCACATGATAATATATAAGTATCCATGGTTTAGAGAAGGTCTGAGAAAAATGGACGTCGACAGGACGTCTCTGCAACGTCATCTAACTGACGTCTTCTTTTACCCATCAAGTGACGTTCATTCGACGTCGAAACGATGACGTGATTATCACGTCATAGAAAGTACGTCATAGTGACGTCATAAATTGGTGTGTGACGTCTCTGACGAAAAATCACCACAGTGACGTGATCATTCGTCATCTGGTTGCCTGGGTGGTTATGAAAATAACTAATCCAAATGTTATTTAAAACGTGTTTAAGGCAACTTGCTACTTTTTCTATTGAATTAACAATCAACCTACAAAAGGGGATTCCCACATCAAATTCAGTTTAAAAAAGCTCTTCATTCACACATAAGAGGAATTTTTTGTACTTCCGACATTCACTCCATTAATTTGTAATTTGAATGTTCTCATTACCATCTTTCACAAAATTATCTTATTATTTGTGAAAAAATCAAGTTCAACTTTGACCACCTTTATAAATGCAGAAGTAGGAAAACCCAAAGGCAGGTAATAAGTGCGGTGTACTTACCTAAACGGAAGTGGCGTCACGGGTGAGATTACCAGTTTTGACCATGACAGGTATAGTATGAATGAAATATGAACTAGAATTGCGAATTGTAACAGTTTTCACTCTTCAGTCGGTCGGTTAATAACTATGTGTTTTTGTTGCGCTGTGCTTTTTGTGTAAGAATATGAAAACATTTTAGTTTCATTTGTGCATTGTGCTTGTATTGAATAATTTGGATTCCTTAAAATGACATACGCCCACGTGTATGGAAATAACGAACTGAAAGATATGCCTCTAATTTATGGGGAAAACAAAATTCTGAGGCCACCTCCCGCCTTTGTGCAGAACGGTTTTCTAATTGTGTTCATTCCCGTGGTCGCAGAGGTTTGTCGCACATGTTCAAAGAGCCCGCGATACAGGTGAAATAGGCATTCATAGAGGCCGAGATGACGGTAGGAATAGAATAGACCTCTCAGAATTATAAACATAGAACAACAAATTTTGGACATTTTTGACAACGATCCAACCTCAAGTACCCGCGACAATGGTCGTCAGATAGGGGTTTCGAATGAAGTTGTCGGGCGGTTGAATGCCTATGTCCTTACTAATGATTGAGTAAACAAAATTGTTGTCTCTCCCGGCAACACCAAAGTCAATAAAACGATAAAGGCCCAATACCTATTTGCTCCACTGGCAAAGTGACTACGAGAATGTGGACGGCCAACAAATTTTCACCGTTGAAATCATTTCCCCAGCAAAGAAAGCATTGGGCCAATAACTTTCCGGTAGTTCATTGATTGTTGGGATATCGTCCTATGCATGTCCCAGAAGACTTTATAAGGATATCCTGAGACGTTAGTAGGACGTAGATATTGGTAACAGGAGGACGGCTTAGGAGCGTCCTCGGGGTACTTTTATCATTTTTCGGGATACTATTATCACGAACTTGATTCAAACTTTACACGTTATTAATTCTCACTGTGCTATTTTGCTAATATTTGCCATTTTGGATGATTTGCTGATTTGTTCGACGGGATTGATGATGTTGTCGTGGTTGACATGGTTCGTGTTGTTTTGCGTCACACAAAGTGTGAATTATGGGGGCGAGTAATATGTCAAGATAATCAAGTGAAAGTGAGTTTTTTGAAAAACATGGTGAGATAGGTGAGTTGAGTTGCCAATATCAATAAGAGCAAAGCTACAGTGCCTCGCAGTGTATTGTCAATAATACTTTTGAAAGTACTTACAGAGAGAGAGAGAGAGAGGGGGGGGGGATTTTTCACAAATGAAAATGTTCAGGAGAAGGTTGTACCGATGGTGAATTTGATATCTCGATTCCGAATCCAACAAAATTATCAAATTTCTAACTCTTCCTCTAATAATATTCCATATTATGGATATGTCAGTGTGATTACATGACTGCTGGTGAGCCGTGTATATTACTGGAGATGACCCCTCTTAGTCATTGAGTCAAACTACATATTATTGTTATACTGACCAACGAAGTCTAGAAATCCATCACTCAAAGCCCAGCTTCCTTCATCACCAACCATATACTGATGAAGTTCTTCAGTAGATCTTTGTTCTTCAGGTGTCAATTTTCCATCAATGAGCCCTATCAAAGTATCAAATTCTGCTTTCACCTAAAACAAAATGATCAGCCACTGCGCATTGTTTTTTAATGGATTTTATTAGGTAACTGTCGAAAGTTTTGAAACGTCTCACTTTACGTAATAACCAGTAGCGAACAGTAAATCGTGAAATGTTCATTTCAACACCAGTAAAGAAATGAAAATATGGATGGACGAAGAGAATAATGCATTTTGTGCTGCTTCCTCGATATCACTTGGGGAATCTGAACTTAAATCAGTTATTTTTCACTGATGCAAAAATCAAACAAGTCTATTTCGTGAATTTCTTCGCTGATTTGTGACCATCATAGTCAACTCGCCTACTGAATTTTGTACATAATCGATATAACTCATGTAGAACTGGTCATAATTTCTGTTCAAGCGAAATTGCCCATCAAAATTAGAAGAAATATTTTACGTAACTGGTTAGAAAACGAATTTTGTGTAATTCTGTGTTTTGCGCAAAATCCCATCGTCACACAATATGAAGCGTTTCCTAACTGGATACGTAAATATCTATTTCATATTGGCTGAAGAAATCTGAACTCATTTTGAATAAATAACAAATTGATACAACAATGAAATAGAAAACAAATCAAACATCAAATAGGAACCTAAGCTATTCAATATGGAAATCTCATTCTATGTATGGAATTGAGTAATACATACATCTGTTACGGCTGACATGAGTAGATCTGAATAGTGAATAGTGAATATCCTACCTACAATGTAATTAAGAAATGTTTTAGAAAATTCTGAATTTACCGTGATTTCAATAGCGTCGCAGTTAGTTAAAAGAATGGTTATACAACACCACACACAATAACATTCAGAAACATCATTCAATAGAAAATCGACGAAAAACTATTTCTGTTCCGAGAGGCGCGAAATATATATTACTCTTGATACTGAGTGAAAAGATAATACATGTCTTCTTCGTCTCGGAATTACTTGCGCTACATTGTGTTACTGACTATACAGGGTATCCCTAAAAGGTCTTTGGAGAAACTTATCAAATATTCTTCATACTGAAACAATTCGATACAAGCAAACTTATCTCAGTACAAAGTTGCTTAGAACGGCTGATAATATTTCAAAATCATCAAATCTGATGATGGCAAGCAAGGATGAATTCAGAGATTCTTCAGCAAAATGAAATTTCTTTCAGTTTTGTTTTTGCAAATGTTGCTAATTTCAAGGAATCTAAGAAACAGCGGTGAAATCAACCAAATTTCTTTCAATAGGAGCAATGTAATAATGCTCATCTGAACTACGAAGCCTTTTACACTATTTTGGCTCAGGTTGAACCAGTCTTGGATCACGGCCTATCAGTCTTTTATAGAATGATACCAATGACCCAGAACCACCTATCCCTGAACACTTCATGATTGGGTGTAGACTCAACGGAATACCAGATAATTCGACTGCAGACACAGCAGTTCTGCAAGATTTTCTAGTGAGTACCTCTATGGGCTACAGCAGTGAAATCAATGGATTTTCAATGATGATACAATACCTAAGGTTGAAGCATTAGTAAATATCAAGGATGAGAACTGCTCTCCACACATGTGGAAATTAGGATGTATCATGGAAGCGTCTGTCGGTCGAGATGTGTGTTAGACCTAAATAAGGACATGTTAACAAGGAGATTATTGATTGATTATGAGATACATCCCACTGAAAGTGCTCTCTTTCAAGATGAGGAATATGTATGACCCTATAAAACACTGTCCATGTAATTTTGACTCAGAAATTGAAATCACCTAGTCGAAGTAATCAAACTTATAATTTGAAATATTAAACACTCATTTCAAAATATTATCTGAGTAGAAATTTTTATGCGTGAATTTCTCTCATAGCTAACAATATATCATTTCAATAACTCAACTGCTCAAAGGTTTGTTCTGAAGTTGAAAATATAGTTGAATAAACGTTATCTCCAAAAAAACAATTCGGTTTGATATACAATATTGATGAAACACCCTGTAGAAATTATTGTATTCTGATTCCGAAGCTCGATCAATTTCACCTGCTCAAGGTGTTCACAACAGTGCTGAGAACCGACAACTGAGAATTCGATAAAATGTTTGCCACAAATGCTATTCCGAAATTTCAGTGTTGAGGCAAATGTAATTATATAAGAGGGATGCAAATTAGAAGAGAAAAAAAAGAAAAGTAGCAATTTCCTCCCTCGTACGAGGGTATAATCATTCAAATCACCTCAAGATGCATTTTTACTGCCAAATGAAACTGCTGATCAATTGAACCGCATCAAGCACGTTTTTGCACTGAATTCAACATTGAATATTTTTGCGAAAATTCCAGATATCCGGGTGCGGTTTTTTCAATTTTGAAGATAAATTCATTGGGTATATGACAGATAGACCGCTGATGAAAAAACATGACATCTGGCTGAAAACTTTTCTATTCTTCCAATTTGATGGAAAATTTTCGGTATTATTTTCAATTATATTTTTATAATGCTCAAGCAATTTTTCTCTTCTCTTCAGCTTTTCAAAAAAAATTTTTTTTGAAAAATGTGATATTTCGTACTTCTGACCAGAAATATTCTTTTTTGTAGCTGTATATTTTGTAGATGGAGATTTTTTCTTGGATGGGTTATTTATATATATAGTGTTTTGCAAAAATAATGGATTGATATATATTATCACAGAAAGCCCGAGCACAACACATTGATCAACTTGTATAGTATTCAAGAATGAATTACAGGAAACGATATTAAAAAAAAATAAGAGAATGAATATACCGGGAAACTTGAAGAGTTTATGAATTAATTTGATCGATCAACTATGACTCCTTATGTATATGATCGTATTCAATAAAAAAGCGTACAAGTATTAAAAAGAGAGGATTTCGGGATCCTAGTTCTAGTTGTGTAAAACTGACTCAGCCAATGCTTTGTGTTTTCGAGAACCTATGACAACTTTACTGTCAACATTTGGTGAAAAATCATTCCCGATAGCCCGTTTTATGCAGAATAGGATGACGTTAATTTATCTCTGTAATATACTTGTACGCTTTTTTTGAATGCGACTGTATATGTTATACAATGTGTATATATTCAACATATGAGAGATAAGTAAGAAGTCATTGATATATCACATAAATTTATAAACTCTCCAATTTTCATTGAATACGAATTCCATCAATCTTGGTTTTCACCCTGTTTATTCTTTATTGTGTAACCTCAAGGAAATTTCTTGTCATTCGATTTCGAACACTTTACAAGTTGATATACGAGGTGATACACAATAACCAACTTCAATCCAATCAAACATTTACCAATTACTGAATATGGAAAGGAATATACTTCATCTTTAAGTGGTGATCACCGTTTTTGAGTAGACAAAGCAAACTTCTTCATAATTTCCATTCAAAGAAGAAAGCAGGTTAGTTCAGGTTATGTTGTATACCGGGTTTCAACGTATTCATTAGACAAGCCATAATTTCCAGAGTTCGGAATGTATTAAATGTCAAACTTGACAATGATGTTGGTTTCAAGGATTCTGAAATTTCTCGATATTTCATCCTCTCCCATCACTTCCGGTTTCAACGGAAAATACCCCAACTTTTGATTTTCAGTATTTCATTCCATAATCACATGAAAGTCATTATAACGAATTCAACGATACCGGGTTTGATAGTGTTATTTCAAACGATTACGAAGGTATTCGCGTTCGAAGTTTCCATATGCTCAATGATTGTGACGGCGAAACAAGTTTCGATATCACGTCATCTAACCCATCAATGAGCATATGGAAACTTCAAAGTCAAATATCTTCGTAATCTTTTGAAATATTTTTTTATTTATTGAACAAATAACTCCCTGACAGTATAGGCTCTGGTATAAGGAAGTACATAATTATATACCTATAGGTAAACATATCATTATTCAGAATATATCAACAACTATAAATTGGCAAACAAAGAATATTTGTAATAAAAATGGCATGATTAATTTTATCCAGTTCGCTCAGAAATAATCAGTTTTTTTACTTCATTTTTGAAATGTACCTATATGTCTGCAATTTTTTATATTGCCAGGTAGTTTATTGAATTCAGTTAAGGCTGAATAGGTGCATCTTTTTTGTCCGATTATGGAGCTAGCGGCGTCAAGATGAAACAAGTTATATTGTCTAGTTTCATGATTATGAATTTCAGAATTCCGTATCAAAAAAATATTCGACTTCAATTTTTTATTAATGATATTATATGATATTTTGAGAGTTATTTATTATATCATACAAATGATTGGTTGGTGTATCAAATGGGAGACGATACAATACTTTTAACGATTTTCTATATAATGTTGATAATGTTATTTTTTGAACAAGTTCCCCAAACATTTATTAAATAGTTGATACGACTCAATATATGAGAGTAGAGAATCATGTTTGCAATTTTAATATCAAGTTTGGGGCATCTTCTCAATGCACCAATAATTGGAGATTTTTTTTTGTCAGAACATCAATATGTTTGTCCCACTTCAACCTGTCATCAAACCAAATACCAGGATATTTTATCTGGTCAGCTTGTTTTGAGAGTTCATTTTTTATTTTAAGGTTGAGGTAAATTTTCTGTATATTTTTTTATTGAAAAATCATATATTCTGTTTTGTTAGTATTTATCGAAAAAAGGTTAGAGTGGAGCCAATTTTCAAATATTTTCAAGTCTTCATTCATCATATTTTCTAAATTTGAAGGATTCTTGCCTGCATACATGGTATATTGGTATAGGTCCTAAAACAGAGCCTTGTGGGACACCCTTATTGATTAATAGTTTATTTGACACAGAGTTGGTTGATTTTGCATTGATTGTTCTATTTTCAAGATATGAATTCAAAATATTCCTATCAAACCCAGTATTGTTGAATTCGTTGAATCCCTAACAGATTATGGATTGGAATAAAGCCTTAAAAAAATATAGGAGAACGAAGTCGGAGGTACATCTGCGCTTTTACAAAGACATGAAAAACTATACAACAAAAGCTATCGTCCGCGAAAAAAAAGCATATTTTAGTTATGAACTAAATAATTGCAGGTCGCATGAAACATGGAAAATTTTGAAAGACACAAAACTGTTACATAATAAAGGGAGTGGTATCCCAGAAGAGTTGAAAAAAGTGAATGAAATAAATGATTTTTTGATAAACTCTATCCCTGCAATGTCTCCTCCAGAAAATCTCGTGAGTTTCTACAAAAATAATCTCCTTATCAACTCCCAATTCAATTTCACAGAAATAAATGATTTATTTGTTTATGAATGTTTCTGTAAAATCAAGAGTAATGCAACTGGTATGGATGGACTAAACATGAAATTGATCAAGTTATGTTGCCCACATATTGTGCCCTACATTACGCATATTGTAAATTTCTGTTTGCTGGAAAATGTTTTTCCATCATCTTGGAAAGAGGCAGTTGTTCGAGTTCTTCCAAAAAAATCAAATCCTGTAGAATATAAAGACCTTCGTGGTATTAGTATATTACCTACAATCTCAAAAATCGCGGAACGGGCCATTGAAAAACAGATTTCAGAGTTTTTGTCTGAACAGAACTTGCTACCGCCAGTACAGTCGGGATTCAGGAAAGGATTCAGTTGCACAACCGCCTTGCTGCACGTTGTGGATGACATTATTAGAGCGACAGACCATGGTTACTGTACAGTATTGGTACTATTGGATTTTAGTAGAGCTTTCGATACGATTAATCATGGATTACTCCTTCACATTCTCCATTACATAGGATTCTCTGAAAACTCTGTTACACTACTAGAGAACTACTTGAGAAATAGAAGACAAAAAGTTTGTATCGATGGTACTAATTCGGAAAATATGTATCTCAAATCAGGTGTTCCTCAGGGATCTATTTTGGGGCCTTTACTGTTCAGTATCTACACATTCAATCTCATAAACAGTCTCAATCAATGCAATATACACCTGTATGCTGACGACACACAGATATATTATAGTTTTCCGTCACTTATGTATGAGAATGCTAGTCAGGTAATCAACAATGAATTGAATTCATTTATTAAAGCTGCAACTGATCATTGTCTTATTGTCAACTCTGATAAATCTAACGTCATTACCTTCGGTCCTAAACATATGAGAAGTACGGTAAATAGCAATATTGTTATCAATGTGATGGGCTCTAGGCTTGATACGGTGGATGTTGCAAAAAATCTTGGCGTGCTTCTGGATTTTAATTTGCGGTTTGAGCATCATGTAAGAAAGCTTATTCAACGAGCTTACGCTTCAATCAAGCTGATATATGGAAACAGGCACTATCTATCCTCAAAATTAAAAATATCACTTTGTGAAGCATTGGTGCTATCGCACTTCAACTATGCTGACGCTCTGTATGGTCCCCATTTAACTGACATATATAAGCGTAAAATTCAGACAGTACAAAATTCTTGTCTTCGGCTGATATATGGTATCAGAAGAAGGCAAAGAATATCACACGCATTGAAACGTTCTGGTTGGCTAAATATGGAGAACAGGAGAATTCTACACGCTAACGTTCTTTATCATAAAATTATTTCAAGTAAAACGCCATCATACTTACACAGAAAAATAACATACCGTACTGATATTCATAATTTAAATATAAGATTTAAAAATATTTTGACGCCGCCCATATTCAATACCGAATTCTTCAAGAGATCATTCAGCTTTCACATATGTAGAAACTATAACTTTATTCCAAAGGAAATCAAATTATTGAAAACCTCCAGATTCAAAATGGAACTAAATACGTTTTGTTGAATTGCCATCAATATTTATCGAGCATTTAGTAGTATTGATCGGACATACACTACCATACACTATCTTCATAAATTTCTTAATTTTTCTCTCTCTTTCCCCGTTCACCTATACATGATACTGTTTTCATTATTTTTCAATTTTTTTCCCTGTCTCTCTGTTTGCTCGCTCACAGGGAATTTTTTCAGGTTAAGTGGAAGAACAGCTTTCGTTTAGTTCTGCTAAATGAAAGCTGAACTTCGCCTTTTATTTTGTTTAAACCATTATGGATACAAATTGTAGTTGTTTTTTGTTAATTGAAAATAATAAAGACGTATTATTATTATTATTATTATTATAAATACAGGGTGTCCCATTTGCTAATCAAAATTTGGAATCGTGTCCGGTAAAACCGTGTCAAAAAAATCGTTGATACCTGGTATATACACCTTGTATATATCACGCTGAGCAACATTTCAATGATGAGTAAGAAGTTATCGCTGATGGTACAAATAAATTTATACATTCTCAAAGTTTCTTTGAATATAAAATTTCTCGACCTTGCTGTATATTTATTCTCTCGTTTTTCGTGGATTCTGGTTTCCTGTCATTCAATCTCGAATACTATACAAGTTGATCAATGTGTTGTGCTTGATCTTCCTGTAATAATATCTATCCATTATTATTGCCAAACACTCTGTTTATAAGTGATTTGAGATTTCATAAAAGGGTACGTCACAATAAACACACAAACACACAAAAGTGTTTGGGATCACACGTTAAAAGGTAAGGCCCCCGTCATTCCTTGCTCGCACAAGACTCTCAAAGACTGAGGGTTGCTCGTAAGGGGCAACCGAATGACTAATAGAACAAAAAAAAAACATCCAGGAACAAATCTCTTGAAATAGACCTACAAAAAAGAATATTGCTGGTCAGAAGTACAAAATATCACATTTTTCGAAAAACAATTTTTTCAAAACCAGGAGAGATAGGTGAAAAATTGCGAAACCATTTCGAGGAATATGCTTGAGCATTATGAAAATATAATTGAAAAAAAAACCGAAAATTTTCCATCAAATTTGGACCATAGAAAAGTTCTCAATATTTTGCAGAGGTTTGTTTGTCACCCTGTATAGCCAGATGTCACCATGTATTTTCCTCGACGGTCTATCTGTCGTACACCAAATGAATTCATCTTTGAAATTAAGAAACCGCATCCGAATATCTGTAATTTTCGCGACAATAATTTAATGTTGAATTTAGTGAAAAAATGTGCTTGGTGTGGTTCAATTGATCAGCAGTTTATATTCACCATTCTTCCGTAATATTTTATGCAAATGGAATTCGAAATATTCCACACACTTCACTGTTCTTGAAATTATACCTATACCCTACTTACATCTATCAAATCCTTATAAACAATAGGTGGATCTCTAGCTTTTTTCTTTGCATCTTCCTCCCTCCTCTCCTCTTCCTCCAAAGCTATGGCTTCATCAGATGGTAGATGACTTTCTCCATTAACTACTTCTGCATCAGCCATCACGAATTCCTGAATCATTAATACCTATAAATCATGGAATGAAATCAATCTGGTTTTCAAAATCACCTCTTTTGACTCCACAGGCAATCTTCTGCTTTCTCGTGAAATTCTTCTGCGCGTTTTATCTCTTTTGTGTTTTTTTCTCGCTAGTGTTTCTCTAAGGGTTTTTCTCCTTTCTTCCAGGAGAAATGAATTATACCTGAAGATATCAGTGAATAGAAATAATACTCCTAAATTCACATTGAAAACTGGTAATATGCTCATACTTACATAGACATGTGGTCAACACATTATTCTATGGTTTGTAGAGTACTAATCAAAAAAATATTTAGAACGATTTACTGAGTATGAAGGCATTGGGTATCATCCAATTTTCCTAGAATGAGTTGTACCCGTAATTTTCAATTTTGCAGGGTAAAAAGTATGTATGGCGCCTTTTACTTGATATTCCTAAATTAGTACTCCTCATATTTCCCAATAATTATACTTTTGATTTAAGCAACAAATTATCCCATTGAGACAATACTAAGAGGTTTTTCTCATGAGGACCATAATCAATGAAAAAAAAATTCAAGTTTTTTTCAAACGAACAGAAGGAATTGAACAAAACAATTAAGTTGCTGAGTTATTTTTCATCAGAAAGCTTTTCAAAAGTTTGAAACAAGAAAGGAAACTCTATAAAACACACTCGTTTTTCTTTGAGAAAACTAATTGTTTTTTCGTTGTGTGTAAATTGCATATGTCCAGAAGAGAAAACTATCAATAGGAAGAGAAATTGAATTCCAGAATGGATCGTATAAAATTTAACTTCTAAAGATCATCAATAAATTACGAAATTATCCCTCTGAAATAAAACACTCGACGAAATTGCATTGCATTTTTTACAATTTTATTTTGAGTTACCTATATGGGAAGTGTGGTAGTTTAACGGGCAGTTAATCAAACTGTGTTACTGGAAATGACAGAGATACAGTAAAACACATAGTATTTACGAAAAATTAAAAAGGAAAGAATGATTTCCATAAAGAGCGTGTCCGGGAGAAATTTGTAGCAATCTGATTAGTTTAGTTCAACATATATCCAGCATCACAAACACACAAAATATTTCATTTTGTAGCTTCATAATCATTCTGACCTTTCTTCATCAATTTGTGAGTTCAGCTGGTCAAAATCTGGACTCAGTTCTTTTTGGACGTCTGAAGATTGCTCCTCGGCAATAGGCCTGGCACTATTCTCTAATTGAGCTACCAAGGCTAGAATGACAGAACTTAGACTGGAATTCAGGACTTCATTCGGCAGATCTAGGATGTATTTTGGCACTGCTGCTCCACATAGGAAATGAGCAATTTCATGGGAGAAATTATTACAGTTGTGTTGTAATAGATGATAAGTACTGCCTCTGAAAAATGAGAGAAATATACTTTAGATATTTTGAACGTGAGGAACGAAAAACATTGAGAATAGATGCTAAAGAATGTCATGAACGGTATGTTATAAACTCTATGAGGACCCCAACAAAACATAAATTTTTGCGTAGGCGCGCGCTTCTAAGGTTCATCCAAAGTTCAAATTCAAGATCAAAACAAAAAAATCAAACCAACAACACCTGGTTTTGTCAAAAACAACCAGAAAACTTGTCTACGAGGAGTACTTCAACTTGAACATAAAAATGATTCATTTTCGTGCATTCCAAGAGATATAAAAAAAATAACATTTCTTGATAATTTGACGATTTCTGATCAGCGCTATATTTAGTAAATGTTGTTGTTACTTTATGTTATATACGTCTTATTAAAGTGATGAAAATAAATACTGATTTACTAAAAGATATCAAAGAAAATGCAAAGCAACCAAAAATTTATTGCCATAAAAATTCAGACCTTTGTATAATAAGGTTTACGAATTATTTATTCCATGAACATTGAAAAAAATAATGATTGTCCTTCGCAGGCGTTAATAATATACAAGAGAAAAATGATATACAATTCGTGAAAATTTTCGCATTTTCGCAGTAATAATGTTGAATGCCTAATCAGATTATATTATGAATCACTATGTATTATGTTATATATGTTATCGTAGTTACGGTATGTTAATGATTTTATTAATAATAAAATATTCAACTGTTAGTGTCAATCATCTTTAGATTTTTGAATAAGAATATAACTTGAAAATCCGAAAGGTTATGGACCCAGCACGTTTCTAGTGGCTTTAGAGTTACATTGCTGTTAGTTCAACTATAGTTTTTCCTAAGTTAGCGGAATAATTTGCTATTCAAGTTTTGCTACTCAATTTACATGCGAATATGGCTTCATCACATGGGTCTCTCTTGCCAATTGAGAAACTTGAAGGTATGGTAAATTACAACAACTGGAAATTTGCGATCTTATTCATGAAGATTTGTGGGAATATGTGTCAACGGAAGTAGGCCAAAATTTGTCTTATGGTACAGCCGTCAGCTTATTCGTATGCAAGGAATGCCTCGTCAGCCAAAGTAGCATGGGATAACTTGGCTAAAACTTTCGAAGATAAAAGGATTATTAAGACGATTGTTTACTCAGGAGAATGTTATCAATAAAACTGTCCAATTTTTCAAGTATGAAAGAGTACGTTTCTGAGGTCATGTCTCTAACTCAAAAACTGAATGATATAAATGCATCTCTAGAAGATGAATTTGTTGGTGTTATCCTCCTTACCTGTAGAATATGACCCTATGGTCATGGCGCTTAAAAATTCCAATCAGAAAATATCAAGTGAAGTAGTGAAAACCAAGTTATTAACAGAAGATGCCAGAATGTCTCCTAGCCAAATGAATTCAGCGCTGGTTTCCAAGAAATCATTCGGTAGATCCAAGAAGCCTAACTGGAAATGCTATGGATGTGGTAAACATGGCCACAAGAAGACTGATTGCTCAGAGTTGAAGAATAAATCTTCGAGAAAGAAAATTAGTAAGAATTTGAAGAAGAATCGAACTCGGAATGCGTTATTGAATGCACTGGGAGTAAATACAAGTAGTATGGATTGATATCTTGACTCTGGAGCAACTGCACACATTTCAATGAGAAGAGATTGGATAATTCACGTGGTCAACAAATAACCTTAGCAAATAATGAGAAGATGACTAGTGATGGAGTTGGTAAAATACCGATATGTATCAATGAAAGCACCAAAATAATACACAATGTGTGGTACGTCCCACAGTTATCTGCTAATCTTCTATCAGTGTCCAAACTGATACAGAAAGGACTTGTTATGGTTGTTCAATTTACCATGAAGAAGATTGTGCTATACAAGGTGAGGTTCAGATAACAGCTTCAAAAGTTGGTGGAATTTTCGAAGGAAAGCAGTGTCGCCAGCCTTTCAAGCAATCAATCAGAAGAAGAGTCCAGCAGAAACTAGAGTTAGTTCATTTTGATGTTTGTGGGCCGATATCAGAAAACTCCTATGGAGGAGTTAGATATATGCTTACCTTTATAGATGATTTCCGCAGGAAAATATTCGTATATTTCTTGAAGAGTAAAGACAAAGTCAAGGACATTCTAATTGAATTTAGTGCTTTTGTTGAAAACCACACTTGATTGCGAGTGAAAAGTCTCCGGACTGATAATGAAACAGAATATGTCAACAATAACTTACAGTCTTACCTCAAGCAGAAAGGCATAAGACAACAAACCACTGTTCCCTATACAACCCGACAAAATGGTGTAGCAGAAAGAGCAAACCGAACGATTTGTGAAATCACGAGAACTATGCTGAAGGATTGAAACTGCCATAAAAGAAGGTGGGCCGAAGCGTGCAATATAGCAGTGTATTTGAAAAATCGATCTGCACATATTCCTGAAGAACTGTGGGCAGGTGAAAGAGTCGATCTGAGCTGAGTTCTCATCATTGAAAATTAATTTGGAATTGGAAATTATACGAGAAAATCTGACATTTTTTCATTGACACTGAGTGAAAATAAAGTGACAGCTGATACGACAAGTCAGGCTATCCAGACAGTCAAGGTACAGGGTACTTTAGAATGTGAAAGAAGTGACAATGAAGAAGATGCTCATGAAGGACAAAGGAGAGCAGAAGGAATAGAAGAAAGAAGATATTCAATCAGAAATCGGCATCCAAGAGTACCAGCAGACTTCCAGTTGTATCACACCTTGAGTACTGATGATGAACCGGGTAAAAGTATGAATAGGTTCCATTATACCATATTATATTCATCAAAATGTACTGGTGGAAGATGCTTTATCTAGAACCGATAAGCATAAATGGATTATTGCGATGCAAGTAGAGTACGATTCTCTACTGAAAAACGATGTATTCGATTTGGTGGATCTACCAGATAACAAGAAACTGGTTGATACCAAATGGATCTTCAAGAACAAATCAGCTGTGGATGAGAGTATTCTATATAAAGCTCGTCTAGTGGCAAACGGCTTTACACCGCAATATGGAGTTGATTACGGAGAAACTCTTTCTCCTGTTGTAAGGTGCTCCAGTATTCGCTTATTATTAGCATTGTCAGCTAATTTGGACCTAGATATAGATCACCTAGATGTAGTGACAGCTTTCCTGAATGGGTCACTAGAAGAAGAGGTATATATGTCTCAACCCGATTTCATTGCTGATGGACAAGAATCGAAAGTTTGTCGTTTGAAGAAAGTAATTTACGGTCTCAAGCAATGGCTAGAGCTTAGAATCTGAAGGTCAATCAAGTACTTCTTGGGATGGGTTATCAGAGATCAAAATTTTAGTCCTGTATATATTTCAAGCTGAATAAAAATTGGATCACTATAATTGCTCTCTACGTCGATGATTTTCTAATATTTTCCAATTACAATGAAGTAAAGAAGATTCTGAAGGAGAATCTTAGTCGCAAATTCAAGATAAAGGATCTTGGACAAGTCAAAGAATGTTTAGGTATGACAGTTCGTAGAAATAAAGATGAGGGTGTAATTTTTATCAATCAGAAAAAGTCTTCCGAAGAAATTCTGAGAAAATTCGGAATGCCTGAAAATTATGAAATGAATGAAAACTGTGATAAACAATATCAGAGTTTGATCGGTTCCTTGATGTACAGGGTGATCAGTTAGGTAGCGAGCGGCCATATCTCATAAGATATTGGTCGTATAGATTTGAGAAATAAAAATCATGATAAAAGTCGCCAAGAGAAATTGCTGGAAATTATTTTCGAGTTTGTCGAACGGCCGGTAGAGGGCGTAACAACCAACACCTAGTAGAAAAATGGGATTTTTATAGAATTTTGTCTAATGAAAGTATATCGATGATATCATTTTCATTTTTACTGACCATTTCCCTAAATTTTTTGTCCAAAAACGTTTTGTTCTATCTATAAAACAAAGCGGTGGGGGAAAGTTCAATTATTTTTTTAAACAAACCAAGATTTCTCCCGTTTATTTAGACCGATTTTAGCAAATGAAAGAGCATAATTTGCCCTACAAAACGCTTATTTGGTTTTGAATTTTTGACTTTTGCTGTCGCCGCTATATGGCGTTTACTGAAATGTTAGCAAATTTTTGAGTTTTCTGCACAAAAAAAAACAAATTTAATGGTATAGGTATTAATTTTTATATGTTTCAAAAGAGGATAAATTTCTCTATAATTTAATGAAAATAATTCAACATCTACCTCTTTTTGAACCGTTGATATTGACCAAAGTATAATTTTATTACATAAAAAAATGGCACGCCACTGTTTTTTATCAAAATAAAAAGCAGTTTTGTAATCTCTTATTAGTTGCTAACAGAAGGAACCTCTTGACTTTTTTTCGTTAGACAAACGGTTTTGGATTGAAAAAATAAAATAGACGAGGAGAAAATCCCACAAATATAGAGTAATGTACATAGTGGGTGTTTCATAATATGTGGAACGCACTTTCAGCGATGATAAAGCGCCTGATAAAAGTCCCTATAAACATAATTATTTTATATGTTCACCCCTGGAAGTGCGTCCCACATATTATGAAACACCCTATATGAGGAGGTTTTATTATGTGTCCTATGTCCTTATCGATGTCCTCATCATTCATCACAATGGTTAAGGGGGTAAGGTATCAGTTAATTTGTAGAAGCTGCCCTTTTTGAAGGCCATTAATCACATGTTGACACAAAGTTTGCCAAATTATTTTCAGTTTTAAAGATAATCGGTAGAATGTAAAAATGGTCCATTTATTTCTCAGATAACTAGATTGTTGCGATTCTAGCGAAGAAATCACAAGGATGATTTGTAATTTTCTATTCTTTACAAAATTACGTTGTTAGAATGTTTTCATGTTTTTGTGTTTCATGGTTTTGAAATAAGTACATATACAGGGTGTATCTAAATAACACCGAAAAAATTCTAGGGGTGTTTTCTTGTGACATTCTAGCAAATAAAGTTCACATAAACATGTGTCCTAACTTGCTTCATTTTTGAGATACAGGATGTCGAAGCTGGAAGTATTAATTGTTTTTATTTATAACCCCCCTGTATCATGGTGCCAAAGTTCAGTATGGATGGAGACAAAGAAAGCTCTAAAATTTCAAAATGATTATAATTGGTGTTATTGAGATATCAATGGAAGTCTTGAAAACACCTACATTAAAATTTGGAGTCAAATCGAATATTTATAGTTTCCTCAAAAGCTAAGCTAGATACAAAATCACACAAGGAATGAAAAAGTTGTTACTTCAATAGTCCAATCTTAAAAAAATATGAAACTCAGAGAAACCGGTGGTGTACAATGACATTCATCAGAATATCGATAAATTTATCCACTGTGACGCCACTGGAAATATTATTTCGAATCTAATTGCACTAGAAGAAGCTCCATATTACAATTAACAAAACCACAACGTTTTATTGGAATTGATGAAAAGACAATCAAAAAATGAATAGAAAAAAGATTTTTATGAAAATATTAATACTTTGTATATCGAAAACGAAGCAAGTTAAGACACATATTCATGTGTACTTTATTTCCTGAAATATCACAAGGAATCACACCTTGAATTTTTTCGGTGTTATTTAGATAGAGTCCAACGGATATTCCTAAAGTATCAAATTTCTTAAAATCTTTTAAATAACAAGAAATTGCATCCTGAAAATCGAAAAAAATGATTGTGCCTTCCGCACGGAAATTTTCACAGTGCAGAAGTTTGGATGGAAAAAGGGGTCTCACCCCAAAGTTTATTTTGATCCCTACATATTTTGGTATTGGTGTGATTAGATAGTATAGGTCGAGCTTTCCCAGGGATTGAAATATTTGTATTTATTGCAATGTCACCATGTATTATAGATCCTATCACTGTGGAAAAAATAACGTTTACAACGAATTGCAAGAACCCCCTGTATATAAATTTGTTCAAGACTTATTGCTATGCTATTACACATAAATGGACCTGAATGTTTTCTATAAGCTGTGAACTCATTGCATAAGTTATTGGTTCCCATATATTTCACAGAACAATGTAGAAGACATGGGCGATTATATGAAAATCAATTCCAATATGGATATATTATATTATCAAGCTCAAAAAACAACTTACTTGTAACTAGATTCAGACAGTCCATTCAAATAATCAAGGAAAACAGGATATGGAACATGGGTTTCTCCTAAATCCTCAATTTTCAATGGATTTCTAAGAGCAGTTGTTCCCTGCAAAAAATCATAAATATTCAAAATATGATGAAATTAGAATGAAATTTTCATTAATCAAACATGAACCTGCTAGAAATAGCTTTCAGTGTCTAGGATTGAAAGTATTTTTTGTCTGAGGACTTCAAGTGAAACAACAATTTAAGGTGGAGGCACAAAAAGTATATTGATTATAGGTAATAGTCATCTTTCATGATTTCATTTGACTCGATAGATATATAGATATATTACATAGCCAAGTAAGTAATGAAATGTAGCAATTTCAATTCCAGATAAATAAAAGTATTGAAACTAATTGCAAGGATATGATATTCAATTTAAGATCTGAAAGTGTTGCGTAATTTTTAGGTGAGTGTAGGTAACTAATATTCCATTATCACGAATCAGCTCGCCAATTAGCAAACAAGATTATATAGGGAGCTCTTTCAGAAACGAGATAGAATAAGTCATACAAAAAACAAACCACAATACTCACATTTTTTCCTGAATAAAAAAATTATCTGGCAAATTTCCTACTCCGCGATAAAATTCGATAATTTTCCATATGTAAACTGTTCCTAACTGAAAGCAGATAGGCAAAACTTTCAGTTTATTCTTAGAACTAATCCAGATTTAGAAATTTGCCCTACGTAAATAGAATAAGAGTTTCTTGTTGTTTTGATTTCCGTGGCATCTATCTGGTGAAATTTGACACGACTCTGGTCCAAAAATAGCTCTACATATTTTAAGACCACATCACGCTATCCAGTAACTAACCGTAAGTGATTACTGGGAATTACTAGTGATTGTACTTAATAGTAGGGAAGCCCAAGCGGGGATTTCGGGATTTATTCGAGCGCGGCAGATTAACATAAGGGGGGGACCTTGTGAAGTTCTCCCACCATACCTGGGCGGCCCTTTATATGGTGTCGAAACTTCAGGACTGCCGATCAGATTGGCAATAAAACATCGATCGTCAGAAATACTCGACCGCGTCAGATCATACATGGTAGGTTAATTACATGTTCAGTGTGCCTTTCAATAATCTGACGATTTTAGCTTGACATAAGGAAATGGGAGAGCCACAAAGTTGCAAAAAAAAATCGTCACCTGTACATTCTCGAGCGCGGATCACGGAAATAACATAATCTGCCGATTTGCACAAGCCGAAGTAGCGAAAATCATCAATTAAGTGTGGTGCTTGCAGCCACTGGGAACTATGTATGTAATTGTGGTAACGTAGGATGCTCGTCAGCTCATAAGGAGGAATCTGAAAATGTAATGAAATACAAGGTGTGCTATAAGAAAGAGTATAAGTTTGATACGCCACGCATTTTTGAGTAACCTTGTATAACGCAAAATATTTCAGAAATGTACTGCTAATGAGACTAGACCATCTCAAGAATTTTTGTTCATCTATTTCAAACAGCAAAGTCGTTATCTCACTTTGCCACACTATTGGTACACCCTGTATGTCTACATGAGCCTCATTCCTCATGCCACTCAAAATTGTGAATTCTTCGAGCTGTTGAAGTCATGCTACAAAAAACTGATCAACCCTGTATATTTTATATTCAAGTTATTGCATTCAGTTAATAAAAAAAATCCAACCGTCAGATTCAGGTAATTCCTCTTCATAATTGTCAGATTATGGGTCGATACGACAAGGACATCAAAATGAAGCGTCTGTATAAAAATCTGACGTGCTCGAGTATTTCAAGGTCACGATTTATTAATTTTTCTTCATTTTCAAAAATTGATCATGTCTTTTGGTCGCGTCCAAATCGTCAGTCTTTTGAATAGGTGCTATTTGAGGGTTCACTTAACGTCCCTTCTCAATATCTGACGCGCTCGAATATTTTTTTTACCTATTCTCTATCCCTTCGTACGGCCACCCCCACCATGCAAACTGGCAGATTAATATTTATCGGTTATCAGAAACACGTGGAGCGCATACACTATTAATATCTGATGCGCTCGAGTACTTCAATGTTTTTTTTTACATTCTTGAACACCTGTACACGCTCTCCCAACCAGTGAAAGGTCATATATAATATAACTTTTTTTTTCATTTTCGCATCTAATCTTCACAATCTGACACGTCCCGACGACGCTCGAGTGAATCCCTATTCAGCCTCTTTGCCTCCCCTACTAAAATAGTCATTCGATTGTCAATATTTTCCATCAGACCCTATAATACTGAAAGTATTAGTCCAGGGAACAGCACCCTTCTATTATAACCCCGTGTGTAGCTTCCTTTCGACAATTTGACGAGACTACCAACGTTTTCATCTGCTAAAATTCCTGTTAACGGGACATTTTCAACTGCGCAGCCGTAAAAAGTGTCAATGTATCTTTCAAGTCATTATTTTCATGGGATTATTATTATTTAATGGTGCTCGCATGCAACGGCGTCACTAATCAGACCTTAATTTGTATTGAAAATTGATGATTTCGAACGATTAATAAATGCATGCAAATTGTTGGTTCTTGTTGAAATTTGAAGAAAATGATACCGCGGAAAAATTTGTATACGCCGCCCTCATGTAGGAAGTCCCGAAATTATCGACTGAACATGTGATGTATGTATTTATTGTGAACGATTATTTCACGTATGCTTTTTCGCAGACTTATTTTTGGTGTTATTTGTATACGATACACTACTTTGCATACAATCGTGGCGTGCACATGCGCTGTGTCAATTTGAAATGAAATATACAACATACTGAAATTATTGCCCATACAGGCTGATTCACGGTGGATGGCACATTAGACGTTTCTGGAGAACGCCACGTAGAATTATACTGAAAATTTGGTTTCTCGGAAAATTTGTTGTGTTCTATCCACCGAAAATATTCTCAACACTGCGACGTTGCCGCTTATATTGAAAACTAGATACAACTTTGATTTTTTGTTGTCGAATAAACCGAGAAAGAATTGATATTTTCATCACATGGAGAATGCGAATTCTCAATGTATTTCTTTATACAGGGTGTCCGCTAAAAGGAGGTCAATCCATTAACCATATATTCCTCGAACAAAAACAATATGAGTTTCTAAATACCATTTTTCATTTTAGCACTTCATATTCGATATACAGGGTGACAAAGTTGGAAATTTAAAACTGTTTTTTTTTAATTACTCGCGTATTTAATAAGATATTAATCTCAAAATTGATACATTACTTCAGCACAGAGTTACATCGTGTGAGGAAAACAAAACAGAAAATAATTGTCAAATATTCAAAATACTGGGGGTCAAGTACACACTTACCCCCCTATCTATTTTTCTTCAAGTGTTCAATCATTTCTGAGTATTTTTTGTCTCTTGTAAAATTTCGATAAAATTATTTGTTCTCAAGATAATTCGAAAAGTACTGGTTATTGTTTGATGCCTATGCGGCTAACGGTAATCTCATAATGTTCACATACTTCTATTTATTTCGTCGAAATTGGAAGAGGGCGTAACTTTTCACGTACGAAAAGGTAAATATGGAAATACCGGGTGCTCAGAGCGAATGTATTGAAATAATTTTTACAAAAAAAAAATTGATACAAATTAAACACGTTTAATTTAATATCCAATTTTACACCCTGTATATCGAATATGAAGGGCTAAAATGAAAAATGGTATTTATAAACTCATATTGTTTTTGTTCAAGGAATATATGGTTAATGGATTGACCTCCTTTTAGCGGACACCCTGTATATACACCGTGTCCCAGCTAAAATGCCCCCCCCCCTGTAAAAATCAACCGCGCGATCGAATGACTTGAAATTTGGTCACCCAGTATATTTGATGATGCTCACTCGAAATATGCTATTGAATAAATCGTAGGTATACAGGGTCACGCCGAAGTGCACCTCAACTTTCTTATTTGAATCGGGATACCCAGTATATTATTCCATATCCAAGTAAAGTTCATTATTACAAAGTCATCAATGCTGGGTTTGATGGGATTTTTTCAAACGACTACGAAGATATGGCAAAAAATAAAACGATACATAACTACAGACCCGTAAAGAATTGCAAAAACTTCACAAACGATAAGATTTCCACAAAATTCTGAAACACACGACATGTTTCGCTAACACAGTAGCTTCGTCAGGTGATATACAATGGTATATCACCATATAATATGGTACAATGAACTCCGTTAAGGATTATTTTTGCCATCGATTTGGAAAAAATCTAATAACCACCTGGTGATAGCAACTGGCCAGCTGGGTCACCAGACCTCACCCCACTTGATTTTTATTTGTGGGGCTACTTGAAACAACAGGTTTATGAGTCGCCAATTGTGAATATGGAAGAAATGAAAGAGAAAATCACAAATTAGGGTCACAATAAACGTTATCAAAAGAGCTAGGAAATGTTTGCAGCAGAATGGACGACATATTGAGAAGTTGAGGTTTTAATTATTTTCTTTTAATTCGATTTCAATCGTGTTATATTAATAAAATCTAATCATATAATTTTTTTTATTGAATCGTTTAAATTTTTGCCATATCTTCGTAGTCGTTCGAAAAAATCCCATCAAACCCGGCATTGTTGAATTTGTAATAAGGAACTCTACTTGAATATGGAATAATATACTGGGTGTCCCTATTCAAATAGCAAAAGTTCAGGTGCAGTTCGGTGTGACCCTGTATACCTACGATTTATTCAATAGCATATTTCGAGTAAGCATCATCAAATATACTGGGTGACCAAATTTCATTCGATGGCGCGGTTGATTTTTTACAGGGGGGACATTTCAGCTGGGACACGGTGTATATACAGGGTGTTGCGAAATTCGACCGACAACGCTTGACATGTGATAGCCCTCGTGATTTCATCATCACTGAGATAGGGACATACGGTCCTCAAGTGTTCAGTTTTCGAGATACAGGGCGTTGAAGTTAAGAAATTTGAATAGGTTTTTCGCAATATCTCAAGAAACATTGAGAATAATGCATTCAAATTCGGTATATGATTTCATCTTTCATTGGTTAATTTTTTTACCAGAAAGACATGTAGAC